TTTCCTTTCCTTTCCTTTCCTTTCCTTTCCTTTCCTTTCCTTTCCTTCCCTTCCCTTCCCTTTCCCTTTCCCTTTCCCTTTCCCTTTCCCTTTCCCTTTTCCTTTTCCCTTCCCTTCCCTTCCCTTCCCTTCCCTTCCCTTCCCTTCCCTTTCCTTTCCTCTCCTCTCCTCTCCTCTCCTCTCCTCTCCTCTCCTCTCCTCTCCTTTCCTTTCCTTTCCTTTCTTTCCTTTCTTTTCCTTTCCTTTTTAGGGTCCCCCTGGTTTACCTGGGATCCTGGGCCTTCCTGGCAAGCGAGGACCACGGGTAAGTCCAAGCTCCCTGGGAAATGGAGGGGAGGAAGGGGCGGTGGGACAGGAATGGACAAGCCATGGGGTTTCTCATGTGCCCATCAGCCTGCATGGGCTGAGTTTACCAGCTTCCAGGAGATGAATGATGATAGCTCAAGGTTGCTGCAAGCTCACCAGGTCTTCATTCAGACTTTGCCTCTTTTTCTTTAGGGACCTTCTGGCCCTCATGGTAATCCTGGCCGCCCTGGACCACCTGGTGCGAAGGTAAGGGAGAAAACATCTATGTGCATATGTGTAACGAAGAGCAAATTTTGACGTGGGGGGATCGCAAAGGTGATTTTTCAGGAGGTAACTGGACTTCCTTGTTTGTTTTCTTTTGAAGACATTTTGCTTCTCATCCAAGAAACTTCTTCAGCTCTTGACTGGATGGTGGAGAATGGAAGGATTCATCCTCCTTGCAGACAGCTGGTCATTTGCATCCTTTGACAGGGTCGTTGAGGCCACTTGGAGGTTTATCTCAGGGTCTTTTGAGTAGTGCAAATGGGTGTGGGGCCTTCTTGAAACGGTTGAGAGGGCTGTGTTGTAGATTGTGTTGGGTCTTTCAACAGTTTCAAGAAGGCTCCACACCCATTTGCGTCACTCAGGTGTCCCCGAGGACACAGATAAACCTCAACGACCCTCTCAAAGGATGCCAACAACCAGCTGTCTGCAAGGAGGATAAATCCTTCCCTTCCCCACCATCTAGTCAGAGCTGAAGAAGCTTCTTGGACAAGAAGTGAAACATCTTCAAAAAAAGTCCAATTGCCTCTTGTAAAAAAAAAAGCACCTTTGGGACAACCACGACCTGAATAACTGAGAATAGATGGATAGAAGTGTGGCGTTATTCTCTACACACCCTCCTTCTCTGTTTCCATAAGACACTTTTGAGGAGGACAGGACAAGAGAAGAACCGTCTAGCTATGGATTTGGCCAGTTCCTCCATTTCTGGAAGTTCTTAAAAAGGTTGGCGCAAGACAGCAAAGTCCATGACTTTCCCCTGCACTTTGGACAGGATTGGTCTAGATGACCCTCAGGGGCATGTCCGATTCTAGGATTTCTTTCCAAACAGCTGAGCAGCCGCCTCCTGCCAATTAAGTAGAAGGTTTTGCAAATTTGGGACAGAGGGCATGGACCGAGCCGTGTTCGTTCTAATTGCTTTCCTTCCTGTTCCGTTCCCAGCCTTTTCTTCCTCTCCCTCTAACTATATAATGTCTTTAGTTTGCTTGATGATTTTTGGAAAAAAAAAAAAAGGAAGAAAGAAAAAAAAGAAAGGTTTCCACTCATCTGAATGAATTAGGCACTAGAGAGATATGTTGGCAGTCAAAAAAAATAAAAAAAGGCAGCATTTTTAAAGGTACAGTCACAACCTCTGAAGAAGGAAGACCATTACGAAAACAAAAAGGAAAAAAAATAAAAATAATAATAATCCCCCAACTTTCTAAACTCTCCAATTTGAGGACTTCCAGATTTATGCTTTCTCGTGTGGTATTATTATTATTATTATTATTATTATTATTATTATTATTAATTAATTAAAAAAGCATCGTGTCAAAAACCAAAACCTTTCCACATTGCTCCTGGCTCTCTGGCTAGTCCCACCTGGCGTTTGGGATGTAGGTGTGAAACCTGTTGGGGTTTGGATAACGGTCTTAATGGGAAAAGACGGCGAACATGAAAAATAAAGTTATTTTTTTAAACTTTCCACCTTTTTGATCTAGGGGAAAATGGGTGTTTTGCCAACTCTGTGTCACTTGGGGGGCCAAAGGACTGGAAAAAGCCTCATTAAAATGATTTAAAGTGAAAGAGGAGAGGCGTGGAAAGGAAGAGAAAGGCAAGAAGGAAGAATTTAGCCCTTGATCTTTTTTTTTGAAATATAGAACTTGTTCCTGAAGTAGAACGCTTTTGGAAAAATCCAGGCTGGTTGCACAAAACCGGGTTTTATTAGAATGGGTTCCCATGGGTTATCATCCTTAGCAAGAGGTGACGGAAAACACAAGAGTGTGATAGTTACTTGGGGTGCATGCAGGCTGAACGTCCTCCAAAATTGCCACGTTGGGTGAACATCTGGCTACGAAATGGGTTGAACTTCCTAGAATTGTCACTGTTTTGATAATGAGTCATATCTGGGCCTGCTTTGAAAGTTGCACCCAGAAGATTGGTAGGGAAAAGGGTGTTTTTTTTTGCGGGGGGGGGGGGGGGGGGGGGGAGGGGATTTGCTTTTTTTTATGACTGTGTTTTAGATCTTGAGAGGTCCTTGGTGCTTTCTGAGTCTTCGCTCCCATTGGCCAGCAAGTGCAAAAGGAATTCCAGACACAAGCAGTACCTTCTTTAATCCGGTTTTGTAGCAGCCAATGCAGCAACAACATAAAAAAAGAATAGAATAGAATAGAAACTAGAATAGAATAGAAATTGGGATAGAAATTGGAATAGAGTAGAATAGAATATAAATTGGAATAGAGTAGAATAGAATAGAAATTGGAATAGAATTTGGAATAGAATAGAATAGAAATTAGAATAGAATAGAAATTGGGATAGAAATTGAAATAGAGTAGAATAGAATAGAAATTGGAATAGAAATTGGAATGGAATGGAATGGAATAGAATAGAATAGAATAGAATAGAATAGAATAGAATAGAATAGAATAGAATAGAATAGAATAGAAATTCTTTATTGGCCAAGTGTGATTGGGCACACAAGGAATTTGTCTTTGGTGCAAATGCTCTCAGTGTATATAAAAGAAAAGATACATTTGTCAAGAGTCAAGAATCATCAGGTACAACACTTAATAGTCCTAGGGTACAATAAGGAATCAAATCATACTAGGAAACAGTCAATAAAAATAGTACGGATACAAGCGACAAGGTTACAGTCATACAGACACAAGTGGGAAGGGATGGGTGATAAGGAGTGATGAGAAGATTAGCGGTAATAGTAGTGCAGACTTTGTAAATAGTTGGACAGTGTGGAGGGAATTATTTGATGGCATTCGGGAAAAACTGTCCTTGTGTCCAGTTGTTCTGGTGTGCAGTGCCCTATAGCGTCATTTTGAGGGTAGGAGTTGAAACAGTTTAAGGTGGACTTTCCAGCTGATGAGTTCAGAATCAGAATAACAGAGTTGGAAGGGATCTTGTAGGTCATCTAGTCAAACCCACAACCCAAGCAGATCCTACACCATTTCTGACAGGTCCAGTCTCTTCTTGAAAGCTTCCAGGGATGAAGCTCACACAATTTCTGAAGGCAACTTGTGTTCCACTGGTTGATTGCTCTCCCTGTCAGAAAATGTCTCCTTATTTCCAGGTTGAATCTCTCCTTGGTCAGTTTCCATCCATTATTTCTTGTCTGGCCTTCAGGTGCTTTGGAAAATAGCTTGACCCTCTCTTCTCTGTGACACTGAGTTGTGGGGAAGGAAAAACTGGATAGTTCAACAGAGCAAGGAAGGTTCACTTTGGGATGCAACCCCCCCTGAGAAAGGAGAAATTGCAGGACCAAAAGTTGTGATTCTTCTGTAGATGCCTTAGAGACCCTTCCTCCAGATCTTCCTTGACTTTCATCCAACTAGACATACCCAATTCCAGCAACCAATCTTCATATGTTTCAGCCTCCAGTCCCCTAATCATCCTTTTGGATCTTCTCTACGCTCTTTCTAGAGACTGGACATCTTTTTCTTTTAACATGGTGGTGACCAAAACCGGATGCCGTATTCCAACGGCAGTCTTCTACTAAGGCATGTTTGGAATACCGCATCCAAGTTTTGGAGGGTCCCCGGAGATCCGTCCGAATCTGGATTGGTTTTGCAAATGCCCTTCCCTCTCCCACGGCTGAACTTTCGCTTGCTGTTCTTGGAGGCACTCCCAGCCATCAATTCGGTACAGCCCTGCCTTTGATAATAGCTGCAGAGTGGAATTATCAGCATGACTTCACTGAACGCTTGGACCAGCTGACCGGTTTCATTCAGAAATTGGACAGTCGCGTCTGGGCTGAATCCCCAGGGTTCCTGGCCATCTTCTGCCAATAATTTCCCCCAGCTAACCAATTCTCTGCTTGGTCTGTGATCGGTGTGTGTGTGTTTGTGCGTGCGTGTGGGACTGCATAAAGAATGAGATGCACTGATAAATAACAATAGCGCTTAGACTTATATACCGCTTTGCAGTGCTCCACAGCCCTCTCTAAGTGGTTTACAAAGCCAGCGTCTTGCTTCCCAACAATCTGGGTCCTAATTTTAACCACCTGGGAAGGATGGAAGGCTGAGTCAACCTTGAGCCGGTCAGGATCGAACTGCTGACAGTGGGCAGAATTAGCCTGCAATGCTGCTTTCTAACCACTGCGCCACCGCGGCTCTTAAAGTAAAACAAAAATCAGAGAATACAGGAAACGGAAGGAGCTACAAAGGAAATATGAAAGCTTTAATGCAGGTATTTCCCCAATTTTACAACAGTTCCTTTCGCGACTGTTCAAAGTTGCAACATTACCAGAAAAAAGTGACTTACGGATGTTTTTCACCCTTAATGACCGTTGCAAGCATCTCCACGGTTATGTGATCAAAATCCAGCCGCTTGGCAACTCTCACACTTATGACGGTGGTGGTGTTCCAGGGCGTTTCCCACGATCCCCTTTTGCACCCTTCTGAGAAGTGAAGTCAACAGGGAAAGCCAAATTCATTTCACAAAAGTCGGTTGACTTGGGTGACTGTAGACAATTTTCTCTAGTGGTTGAAGAAGATCCAGGAAAGGTATTGTTATTTCTGAAGTTAGTAGGTTACACCGAATCGTGGGTTTGTTGCATTCAGAGGAGCCCACTGATTAACTAGACCTTGTATCTTACATCGAATGGTGACCCAAGATAGGTCAAGCATGTGGGCCTCTATAGTAGCTCCAAATGCAAGAGAAGAATGCCTTGGGAAGTAGAAGGCCACCAGAAGACGTGATGACAACTCAGCTGCAGAAGCTATCTCCAGAAAAAGTTGGGAAAAAAGTAGCAGTCACGCACATCTTTTAATCTATTAGGCTTCCCCAAATATATATGTTCTCCAGATATCATGAAGACCAGTTTAGCCTGGTGGCCGAAATCCCAGGCCCCAGCTGCAGAAGACCTGAACTGTAGTTCTGCCTTGAGCAACATAGCCAAATGTGTGAATTTTTCTCTCTACTCGAGGAGTGAGTAGGGAAGGGCAAACCCCTTCGTAGGAAAGTTACTAGAGAATTGCTTGGACCTGACCTTGTAGTTGGCAGGAAAGAGTCTGATTCAAAGACACCCCCCCACAAAAGGGAGTCATCAACAGAACATTGGCACAGCTATAAAGGATCCTACAATTAGATGAACACACGACACTTTGGATCACATGGTCTAAAGTAAACTACAACAATAAAGTTAACTAGTAAAACATGCTTAACTCTATTTAGGCTTGTTGCAGTCTTTATTTCGCCTCTCCACATTGCAGAAGACAACGGCAACCCATTGTTGCCAAGGAAACGTGATCAGTTCTTGAAGTCTCCATGATTTTATTTGATCGGCTTCACTTTTCTTTTTAGCTAAACAAAGAGAGGAAGAGAAAGAAGGAAAAAGAATAATATTCCCAAGTTGGCACTATGCTCAAGACCTGGAAAAATTTCAAAAGCCTATTTGGAAGTTCAAAATTTACATTATGAACCTCTCTGATTATATTATGGGGGTCTAATGCAGGAGATGAGCAAACAGAGCTGGGGGTGGAGTTAAACAAGACACTGGCTTAGAGTCATTGCGTTTCCACAATCTAAGTCCAACCCCTCTTGAATCCCATTGACCCTTATCTGGTGCCAATTGAGCATTGAACTTCAGTTGACTAGATTCTTGCATATAAGCTTGAGCAATACAATCTTCTGAACTGCAACTTCAAGTTTGGTGCTGACATCTATGTTTAAGGTGCTAATATTTCAGTGTAGAGCTGTCTTGGAGGCCAACCGTGGGAAGGAATCCAATTGTAGTCCAATGTTGGCAGAGGAACCTGGCAAACCAACATCCCTGAGCCCAAAATATTGCTTCTCTGATTCTTCCTCCCCTTTGTCTCCTCTTGAGGGAATGAAGACTGGAATGGATGTGATGGTTGACATAAGACAAAAGCTGTGCTCCCTCCTAACCTGAATCCAATCGGTCTTCTGTATGTCTTTAAATGGTCGATTCTTTCCTGTAATGATAAAAAATCTAAGAGATATTCATGCACTCTTCCCAGAAGCCACTGTCGGTCCTACAATTCATTTGCTCAACTTGGGTTTACTAACTGAAGGCCAACATTTTAGAAAATGTCTCCCTCTTGTTCCCTCTTGGAGGTTGGCCTCATCTCTTAGCACTTAGCAATAGCACTTCACTGTGCTTTGCAGCCTTCTCTAAGAGGTTTACAGAGTCCGCATCTTGACCCCCCAACAACCTGGGTCCTCGTTTCGGAAGGATGGAAGGCTGAGTCAACCTTGAGCCGGTCAGGATCAAACTGCTGGCAGTTGGCAGAGTTAGTCTGCGATACTGCATTCTAACAACTGTGCCATCATAGCAGATAAATGGATGGATGAATGGATGGATGGATGGATGGATGGATGGATGGATGGATAGATAGATGATAGACAGATAGATAGATAGACGATAGACAGGTAGATAGACAGACAGATAGATGATAGATAGACAGACAGACGATAGATGATAGACGATAGATAGATAGATAGATAGATAGATGGATGGATAGATAGATAGATAGATAGATAGATAGATAGATAGATAGATAGACAGGTAGATAGACAGACAGATAGATGATAGACAGACAGACAGACAGACAATAGATGATAGACGATAGATAGATAGATAGATAGATAGATAGATAGATAGATAGATAGATAGATAGATAGATAGATAGCAATAACACTTAGACTTATATACCGCTTCACAGAACTTCACAGCCCTCTCTAAGTGGTTGACAGTCACTCAACAATCTGGGTCCTCATATTACCGACCTTGGAAGGACGGAAGGCTGAGTCAACCTTGATCCTGGTGAGATTCAAACTGGAAAATTGCAGGCAGCCGACAGTCCTTAGAAGTCGCCTGCACTACTGTGTTCTAACCTCTGCACTACCATGGCTCATCATTCTTGCTATATTTTGTGTTCTCTTGCAGCGGCGTTAAATTTTGTTCTCTGTTTTCAGGGTCAGAAAGGAGACCCTGGATTATCACCTGGGAAAGCACGGGATGGTCAGAAGGTAAAGTGGCCCTCAGTCTTGTATTAAGTGTGGTAGTTGCATGTTGGTTTTGAGTGTGCTGCGTCCTGAGGATTCGGCATTCCTCTTCCCCGCTTCTCAATGGACTCGGAAATGTCACAAATATTTATGGCAGTTAACTTGATTTACGGGCTGGTGGATGGTTCTCCAATCCTCAGTGGATGTGGAAGAAGACTCTGCTTCTCTTCTGACCTTCTGAATGTGCCAGAAGAGAGGAGAAGGTCCTTGGCAATGGTAGACAAACACCAGATTAACTAGCATTTATAGAGCCATGCGTAAACAGTCTCAAGGGATTAGCCTGGGGTGGGAGAGCTCCTGGAAGCGACCTGACATTAGTTCGTGATGTATTTAATCCTCTGAATGGCAGAGGTTTTTCTGTGATTCCCTTGTACAAAAATATCAAAAGAAGACAGACTTTGAATAGTACAAGACAAAAACAAAAAACCAGCACGCACCAATGCCCAGAAACCATTTTTCTGATGTAATACGGGTTGCAAACTTGTCAAAATTGCATGGGTAGAAGGAGAAGCTATGTTAGCTTTCAATCACAATCCCTCGTTCTCTTATGACCAGGTCCCTGAGATAATCTTTGCGAAGATTTGACGTCTGAAGTTCATTCATGCTTAGATTTCTGGTGGCCGGGTCAAATAAAAACCATCCCTTCTTCTGGTTACAGGGTCACATGGGCTTACCTGGGTTGGCAGGATTTCCTGGATCACCCGGTAGGAAGGTAAGAACTTTTTTATTCTGGGATGGATCCTATTGGGTGCTTCTCCTGGTCTGTACTGGGTATGGACTCCAGTGAAGTTTTGGGCCTCAAACCCAAGAACGATCTGAGACAAGCAGTAATTCTTTAGTAGTCTTGAATGGTAGAGTTTTATCCAGGGGTGGGATTAAAATGTTTTAACAACTGGTTCTGTGGGCATGGCTAGGTGGGTGTGACCATGTGACTGGGTAAGCTGCTTCCTCCTCCTCCTCCTCCTCCTCCTCTCCTTCTCCTTCTCCTTCTCCTTCTTCCTCCTCCTCCTCCTCCTCCTCCTCCTCTTGCCCTACTAGAGGCTGGGAGTTGTAGTTCAGTGACATCAACAAATTTTCGGTTTGGGTAACTTAGAACTATGTCACTTGGAATCAGACCTAAGTATTGCATACAAAATTATACGTAATGTTTTACCTGTAAATGGCTTTTTCTGTTTTCATCAAAATAACATATATGCGAACAATCGCTTTAAACTCAGTGTAAATTGTTCTAAACTTGACTGTAAAAAATACAATTTCTGTAATAGAGTGGCCGAAGTCGGGAATGCCCAGCCTGATTCAATTGTCTCAGCTGCACATTTTCACAGTTTCAGTCACAAGTTGACCTCCATGGACCTTACTTCATACTTAAGGGATCTGTAGAAGGGGCATGCATAAGTGCACTAATGTGCCTATCGTCCCTGTCGTTGTATTTTTACTCTCTTATTCTTGTTCTCGTTTTTGTTTGACAAATTCCAATAAATAAATAAACAGGAGAGTTGGTTGTCCACCCTGTTACAGAAGCTACATTTTTTTTTGGAAATGGTTCATAGGAAGGGGAGAGGTTACTCTCTGTTGTTAGTCATGAAGTCGTGTCTGACCCATTGCAACGTTCCTCCAGGCCTTCCTGTCCTCTACCATCTTCTGGAGTCCATTTAAGCTCACGCCGTCTGCTTCAGGGACTCCATCCAGCCATCCCCTTCTTCTTCTTTCGCCCTCCATCATTCCCAGCATTAGGCTCTTCTCCAGTGAGCCCTCCTTTCTCATGAGACGGCCAAAATATTTGAGGTCACTGTACAGATCCCTAAATTCAAACAGAGAAGGAGAGAGAATGTAAATGGAAATTTAGGAATGGAAGGTTGTAACGTCTCTGTTGACGTTGGTCTCCTGATTTAGAAAGCGTCTCTATTTTCCTTTTTGGAAGCCAGAATGAGTAGTCCAAACTAACGTTCTTTGGGAGAAGGTGAGAAAGGAGCCTCTTGTCCCACAAAGCAATCTTGAAAGTGTTGCATGGCAAGGCAAGAACATTTTTGGGGCATGTTTTGGCATAACTGAACATCTGCCAATGCCCATGTCCTCCCCTCCCCAGCTGATGAGTTGGCAGTGCGCACATTTCCTGCTGTGGCTGAGACATGAGTCCATTTTTCCACCAGTTCCTCAGTTCTCATGACACAATGGAAACAGCCACACATACCAGCATTCTTCCCTGTGACTTCTTCAGACATTCATTCCAGCCATGGATTTACCCACAATGCCCCATGAGAAGAGTATCCAAAAGAGCTAACCAAACCATACAGAGATGCCTTCAAAAGAAATAACCCCAAACCTCAGCAATTTCAAACGTTGCATCTGCTGCAGCCCTTCCTAGCGATGGTTGATGGGTCTTCAACGGTCATCCTTCAACCACTGATCCTCCCACATCTGGAGAAAGTTCCCCTTTCCTGTCCCAAGGAAGTTGCACCTGGGTTATTGTGAATGAACCATCCCCACACGGACTAAATTTGATGTTGTCTGCAGAATTGTCCCTGCTGATGTAGCTTAAGATCAATCCAGTTCTGGATCTGGACCTGAAGAACTCAGGAAGTGTCTGGTTTTTTTTAAAAAAAAGTGTCTAACAACTGCTTACGTAGGAATCTACAAATAGGATATTGTTTTTTTCCAGGTTTGAGGAGCCTGACCCTTTTTGTATTGTCATAACTGTACTTTTTTGGATCTTGGTCAACCCCTGGAAGGTTTTCAGTTCACTATTAAACAGGGCTGTCTTTGCAGTCTCACCCCGCACCCCTCACTTGGCGGATGTACAAAGCATTTGGTCATCATTTCTCCTCTTCTTTTCTCTCTGGACTGTCATTCAGACCATCATCTGGGGATTAAGCCTGCCACCAGAGAGAGCGTGGTCTTCCTCTTCCAAAGGAAGGCTCAATTGTGATGGACAGCCTGGAATTCTCCCGAAGCTTATGAAAAAAGAAAAAAAAAAGAGTAAATCCAGATGGTCTTTTTTCTCCTGTCTCTTGACATTTCCTGTTCTGCTTGGAGACTCTTGGGGATGTCACCTCTTTCATCACATTCCTGTCTTGCTTTGGAATGGTGGTTAATTAAAAAAAAAATAAAAAAAATCAAACGGCCAGTCCGTCAGCCTTAAGGATCGTCAAGTTGGCTTAAAGTTTTTCAGCACATTGTGAGCAAATTGTGGGTCACGTTTATGGGTGGAGAAGAATGGGGTGATTTGGTTGCGGTAGCAAAATATGCCTGCAATGTCAATGCATCAAATGTGGCGCTGACTTTACGGTCAATTTAAGGTGTCAATCAGAATACAGCTGGAAGAGACCTTGGAGGTCTTCCAGTCCAGGGGTGCCCAAGCAGGAGACCCTATACTTTTTCAGACAAGTGGCTGTCCAGTCTCTTCTTAAAAGCCTCCAGTGATGAAACACCCACAACTTCTGGTGGCAAGTTGTTCCACCGGTTAATTGTCCTCGCTGTTAGGAAGTTTCTCCTTAATTCCAACTTGCTTCTTTCCATGATTAGTTTCCATCTGTTGTTTCTTGTCTTACACTTAGGCAAGAAAAACCAAAATAGATTAAGAGAAACCAGGCTTAAGAGCAGTAACTGTGAGAAGGATCTTGGAGTCTTTGTGGACAACCAATTAAATATGAGTCAACAGTGTGTGGCGGCAGCCTAAAAAGCCAATGCAATCCTAAGTTGTATTAACAGAGGGATACAATCAAGATCCAGGGAGGTACTAATACCACTCTATAAAGCCTTAGTAAGACCACACCTAGAGTACTGCATCCAGTTTTGGTCACCACATTATAAAAAAGATGTTGAGACTCTAGAAAGAGGGCAGAGAAGAGCAACCAAGATGATGAGAGGACTGGAGACTAAAACAGACCATGAACGGTTGCAGGAACTGGGCCTGGCTAGTCTAGTGAAGAGAAGGACCAGGGGAGACAGGAGAGCATCTTCCAATATTTGAGGGGCTGCCACAGAGAGGAGGAGGGGGTCAACCTATTTTCCAAAGCACCCGAAGGCCAGACAAGGAATAATGGATGGAAACTGAACAAGGAGAGATTCAACCTAGAAATAAGGAGGAATTTTCTGACAGGGAGAACAATCAATCCATGGAAGAGAAGTTGCCTTCAGAAGTTGTGGGAGCTTCATTACTTGAGACTTCCAAGAAGAGTCTAGACTGCCATCTGTCAGAAATGGTGTAGGGTCTCCTGCTTGGGCAGGGGGTTGGAATACATGACCTACAAGGTCCCTTGCAACTTGTCTGTTATTCTGTTATTCTTTGTGGCAGCCTCTCAGATTCTGGAAAATTGCTGAATCTTGCGTTCCTAGACTGAATACTGAATCTTCTTTTAAGATGGAGCCGGGCTCTGGAAACATGGGGGCGAAGTTAGCAAACTCTACAGACCTTCAACCAGCTGTACTGTGTTTCTCTCCTAAGCAATGTTAAGAAGGCACATGCTGAATTAGACAACTGGCCCATCCAACTCCAGGATGATCTATTATGACCGAGAGCTGGCCCAGCTTCCATGCGTAAATAAGGAATTTGGCACGTCAGGAGACTTCACGTATTGGGTGGCAATTTTTTCATTTTTAGTAGCAGACACTGGCAAAAACACTCACATAGTTTGGCATGTGGTATCTCCATTTCATCCAAGAATGGTCTGGGACTTCTCCTTCCCACCTCCTCGCTCAACACGAAGAAGGTGGATCTAAGCAAGCCATGATGCTTGCGCTTGAGGGTTTCACCAAGTTGGATCATATATGTGGGCATCTAGCTTTTTGCGTTTGGAAGACAACTTTTCCCTAAACAACTAAAGACTTATATGTCCATGTCCCAAAGGTGCTTTTTTGTTTTTGTTTTTCAGGAGGCCACTGGACTTCCTTGTTTGTTTTCTTTTTGGAGACGTTTCGCTTCTCATCCAAGAAGCTTCTTCAGCTCTGACTGGATGGTGGGGAATGGAAGGATTTATCCTCCTTGCAGGCAGCTGGCCATTTGCCTCCTTTTAGAGGGTCGTTGAGGCCACTTGGAGGTTTATCTGTGTCTCCAGGGTCACCTGAGTTATGCTCCTGGTTCCTGTAGTTGCCGCCTGAAAAAGCACCTTTGAGACAACCATGACCTGGAGGACTGATAATCTCTACAGATTTTTAGCTATACAATTTGGGATGGATGCCCTTTGGAATGGTGGGGGAGTAGAAAGAGATTTCCAGAGGGGGGAAAAATTGCAGACTACAGGAACCAGGAGCACCACTCAGGTGACCTTGAGGACACAGATATACCTCCAAGTGGCCTCATCGAGCCTCTAAAAGGATGCAAATGACCAGCTGTCTGCAAGGAGGATAAATCCTTCCATTCCCCACCATCATCCAGTCAGAGCTGAAGAAGCTTCTTGGATGAGAAGTGAAACGTCTTCAAAAGGAAAAAAAAAACAAAGTCCAGTGGCCTCCTGAAAAAACAAACAAACCACCTTTGGGACGACTGTGACCTGGATGACTGAGAATCTCTACAGACTTATATGTCCATGTTTATTCTTTCAAACAGGGACAGAAAGGCTATCTCGGTCCAACAGGCCACCCTGGAGAGCCGGTGAGTGTTTGTCCTGATTTTGAGATCTTCGTGCATTAAGGGTGGGTGGCTCCTCTCGTGGTTGACCAGAAGTTCTGAATGGATAAATGTTTTTGTTTAAAAATATCCCATGCTCTCCACCGAACCTTCAGGTCAGTGGTGGGATTCGAATGTGGGCGTGGCTTGGTGGGAGCGGCAGGGGAAGGATATACTGCGAAATCCCCCTTTCCTCCCCACCCCGCTAACCTGCTTTCCAGCTCCGTTCTCCTGGGCAGGGCAACCAAAGGAAACCCAGCCAATCAACTGGGACTCAATGGGAGGCAGAGGAGAGACGGGGTTGGCGGGGCCAGTCAGAGACGGGATTGGCCAGTTCTCTGAACGACTCAAAATTTCCGCTACCGGATCTTGAGAACCGGTCAGAACCGGCTGAATACCCACCTCTGCAGAGACCCCCTTCTCCCCTTGGGTTCCTACGGCAAACCTTACAAGCATTGAGCCAATTGTTTTCTGAGCTGCCCTTGCTCAAGATCCCCCTTTGATTTTGGGGAGGGGGGAGGACAGGAAAGATGTTTAAGGAGGGATTAGAAGGCTAGCCCCCCCTCCATGTTACCCAGCATGCCTTGGGCTGAGGGCTTGGGCCCTTCTGGCTTTTCCTAGTCTCATCGTTGGGCGGTTTAATTTGAGTCATGCAACCTCCATTCCCAGCGCTTAGCTTAGGGGATTCTGGGGCAGTGGTGATAGTCAAAGTTTTTTTTTACTACTGGTTCTGTGGGCATGGCTTGGTGGGCGTGGCAGAGGAAGGATACTGCAAAATCCCCCTTCCTTCCCCACCCCACTGACCTGCTTTCCAGCTCCGTTCTCCTGTGCAGGGCAACCCAAGGAGACCCAGCCGATCAGCCGGGACTCGATGGGAGGTGGAGGAGAGACGGGGTCGGTGGGGCCAGTCAGAGATGGGATTGGTCGGTTCTCCAAACTACTTAAATTTTCTGCTACCGGTTCTCCAGAACTGGCCTGAACCGGCTGAATACCCACCTCTGCTTCAGGTCATTTTCTCCCGCATTCCAGTTGTTTGGTCAAGGCCGTTGGATGTACGAATTGAACTTAATTTTCTCCCTATTCTCTTTTCTCCACTAACCACCTGTCACCTTTTCCTTTTGGACAGGGCAGCCGAGGTGCTCAAGGAAACCCAGGAGCCAAAGGTTATCCTGGCAGGCAGGTGCAGTAAATCTTTTATTGTGCTGAACGCAGCACAGGGTAGGGGGGAAAATCCTGGTAGGTGATTTCGGATCCTACCAGGAGGGGTTTGGAGACGGAGCTGTTGCCTCCTCCATTCTTCTCTGCATGGGGAAAGCTAGCATGTCAGGGTGGAGGCCTTCCAACCCTCAGCTTCTTCCTGTTCCTGCTCTTCTGGAAACGGGGTGATAGCCCACACCGTATTTGATAACACCAGTTGATTTGATCAGGTGAGTTCCTGCCTCACAACAAACCCCTGAATACGGGAGGCATGGTCTGACCTTTCTTTCTTTTTACAAGGTTTTGAATGTCTTGGGGGCTCCAGAGGACACTTTGGATTAATGCATTGTGGGCAAACTTGTGAATCAATAGAAGAGAATATTTGCAGCTCAGATGTCCGTGGTGGTCTCTAAGTTTGGTTGTTGATTTGCAAACGTTTCATGACCAGGGGTGGGATTTTACCAGTTCGCACCTATTCGCTGGAACCAGTTGTTAACATTCTAAGCAGTTCAGAGAACCGGTTGTTAGAAGACATTACTGGGCTAATCCTGTAAGGAAGGCAGGAAGGAAACATTCTGGTGTTGCTTACAGAAACTGCCTCTCTTATTACATTTTTCCAAGCCTTATTACATTCTTGGCAGGACTAGACTTCCTGTCTCAGGAACGTCTCTGGAGTTTTTTTCCCTTCCTTTGCTGGTACTTTGCTTGTGTGGAGTGACCATTCAAAGTTACAATGGCACTGAAAAAAAGTGACTTATGACCATTTTTCACACTTAACGACTGTTGCAGCATCCCCACAGTCAATGAGAGGCCAGGTGAGGAGATGCGTGCCTTGATGTGAGTGATGTTGAGTTGGCCACGCCCAGCCACTAACATGACCACCAAGCCATGTCCACTCAGTCACAGGACCACCAAGCCACACCCACCACCCAAGCCATGCCCACAGAACCGGTTGTTAAACATTTTGAATCCCACCCATGTTCATGACCCAACTAAGGAACATCATCAGCGCTGGGGATTCAGTGCTAGTAGCATCTTGGCACTGATGATGTTCCCTAGTTGGGTCATGAAAAGTCTGCAAGAAAACAACCAAGCTCAGAGACCCCACCACCACCACCAAGGACCCCCCAAACCTATCCATGTGAGAAGAACAATTTCTGGCAACTTCTTTCAATCTAGGGCCGGCCCCGCTCGATGCCTTTTTCTCAGCCTGAACGGAAAAAGGTTTGGGCTTGCATGTCTGTCTGTGAGTAAGCCTCATTTCACCAGACAACGTCAAATCAACGTTCGGGAATGCGCAGGCAGCTACAGAAATTTCCTGCCATTTTCCCCCCCAAACCAAAAAGGGATAGGGGCCAAAACACTCAATTGAATTTTCTGCCTGGAAAAGGAGGAGGTTGACATCCGGCTTTAGATTAAAAAGAAAAGAACCGAGATTTCAATCTTGAAAAATTACTCCAACCTGTTCGTTTGTCATTCTTGCAGAAAGACCCCAGTCTTTTGGGGGGGGGTGTGGTTTGGGGGAGTTAGGGAATTGCAACTTGGTTAGATGAGGTTGGCCCAAGGAGCAGTATCCTTCTTGCTTTCTCAGTTCTTCGTTTTCCCATAAAAGTCAGAAGCGAAGGACAATGAAACGTGGTGATCAATCTATTAATGAAAAACACAAGGGAAAAAAGAAATAAATAACCTTTCCAGAGCCGTCCCTGTCTCTCCCAGAACGGCAAGCCAGATACTTCTGACATTTGCTCAGCCAGGGATTGGTGAGCAGGTTGGATGTCATTCTTCACAACTCTTCCAAGTCGGGGACAGAGCCAACTGGAAGCTGTTTGGGTGGACCTGGTGGGATAATAGGAGTTGGCATGGTAGCTTTGTACCACCAACCCCCAGCCTTACCCTATGGAGACGGCAAGGCTTAGCTCCTGCCTTCCTGTTCTAGATCCAGATGTTTGGGCTTCCAACCTCTGCCAAACGGGGAATGTCTCATCCAATGTTCAGCTTCCAGTAAAGGCCATTGACAGACCTGCCTCGTGTTGGCCAAAGGTTGAATGATGTGTTTCTGCATGTACAAGCAAGAGAGAAAATGATCAATAGCCTAAGAACTAACTTAGAACTAAAGAGAAATTTCCTACAGTGAGAACAATTAATCAGGGGAACGACTTGCCTCCAGAAGTTGTCAATGCTGGAAGTTTTTAAGAAGAGATTGGATAACCATTTGTCTGAAGTGGTGTAGGGGTTTTCTGCCTAGGCTGAGGGTTGGACTAGAAGACCTCCAAGGTCCCTTCCAACTATTCTATTCTATTCTACCTATTTGTTCCTGGCAATGGGTCTGCCCATTTTGAATTTGTCTGGGCACAGGGTACCTGTTTTGCATTACCATTGGAACAAATTCCTCTGAAAACACACACACACACACACACAGTGTGTGTGTGTGTGTGTGTGTGTGTGTGTTTTCTTAATATATATATATGTATGGTATTCAGCTTTGTTCGGGTATTTTCCCATGTCATTATAGTTGTGCTTTTAAAGTTGTAGCGATGTTTCGGCAGAATCTCATCTGCCATCATCAGGCTTCTGTATAGTGTTCGTCTGTGAGTCAGGCTTTCACAGCCGTTTCTGTTTTAAATTTGGGGCTAGCCTACTGCTGTGCCAGAATGTTTTTTTCGAAACGTTACTACAACTTTAAAAGCACAACTATAATGACGTGGGAAAATACCTGAACAAAGCTGAATACCATACATATAAATACCCACGAAAACTTAAGAAAACAAATATGTATGTATGTATGTATGTATGTATGTATGTATGCAGTCATCTTGCTCCAACCATTAGCTAGAAGATGTCTATTATTGTTTTGTTATTGTTGTTGTTTGTCTTTCTCCCCGACTTTCGAAATACTTTTCTGGTTTTTCCTTGGCACCTTCCCAATTTCCCAGCAGTTGTGTTCCCTTCTCTCTGGCCTTGTTGCTCGTCTCAGAGAAGCTCTGAGACGGGACCTCTCCAAATTAATCCGCCTTTTTTTGTTTGTTTCTCTCTTCCCTCTGTTTTAGGGATTACCTGGACCGATAGGGAAGCCTGGCCCGAAAGGGAGCCAGGTAAGTCGGCGAGAAGGTCTTTCCACAGCCAGGTTGGGTCTGACCCGTGGTGGGATTCCCAATCTTTTCCTACTGGGTTCTATGAGAGCGTGCTTCGTGCATGCACGCAGCACTCAAACACCGTCCTCGGTGTCAGCACGGGGTGAGCTGAGCTGTGTTTTTTTTTAGCTCAGCTGAGGCGCGGCAATCCACTCTGCCCGCCGTGAAAATCAGCTGAGCTAAAAAACAAGGGAATATAAGACAGGGAACGACGGGGGCGGGAGGGCAGGCTCAGCCAGAGGTGGTATTGGCCAATTCGCCAAACTACTCAAATTTTCCACTACCGGTACGCCAGAACCAGTCTGAACTGGCTGAATACCACTTCTGGGTCTGACGTTTGCAGGTTGAGGTTGAAGCTATTCGAACGGCTGCTTCTCTGCTCTATTAATGGACAAGAGATCAGAACTGAGAAAAAGAGTCAGAACAACAGGGCTTGGGTTCTTCTTCACCCCCTAGTAACCCCTTTCTCCAGACCTCAGTTTGATTCTTGTACCAACAGCCAACTCTGGTCTCAGGGTTGAGGATGAGCTGAGAATATTAGAGGAGCCAATCTGAGTCGGTCCCCAAGATCAAAGGTTTTTATTTTTCCAACTGTTGGGTTTGTGCTGGAATATCTTGGTGATGGGTTCCAACATGAGTCCAAATGCTTGGAAGAATAAACCTTTGGTTCTTGGGGACCGACTCCGATCGGAACCTTCAACATTATCCTGGGACATTTGTGAGAACACTGGACTTCTCTCCTGACGTTTCTCCTTGAACTTGCCCTTGTGCTAAATCTGCTTTTAAAAAAAATAAAAATAAAAATAAAAAGCAGCAACTTTGGGGTGTGCATGCTTTTTTGAAAATCAGGTGCATTTTGATCTTAAGCCAAGGAGCAAGGGCCCAGCCACCTAGAAACAGCGGAGGGGGGGGGATGCAATTCGAAGAATGAAGTGGCATATGGAATACTCACACCTGATTTCTGGGGGTTTTTTTCCTGTTGTTTTTTTTAGCTCTTCCAAGTTTTTCTCTGACTCTGTTTAGTGTTCCCACTACCCTCTACCATCAGTGTTCCTCCATGCTCTGACTATCTCCACACTCCAAGCCAGTAGCATCAATGTTACTCCATACTTTGATGCTTGCCTCATTTGAAAAACACCTCAATTTTGGAGATTGAAAAGAGGAAATTCTTGGAGATTTTGTTCAGGTTTCCTTCTTTTAGCTCAGATGCTGAAACCCCCTTTCCCCTCTGTGATATCCCTCTTCTTCCTCCTTCCTCTTCCTCCTCCTCCTCCTCCTCTTCCTCCTCCTCCTTCTTCTTCTT